GAAGTATGATTAAACTTCAAGTTAAATTTTAAATATCACATTCAACAAAGAACTATCAAGGTAGAAAGACTATTAAATAACATAATCAGACTATTAAATACAGAGAGAGGTCTATTCTTCCAGGCTATGAGACAGTTATATATAGCCTGTATTACATCAGTAGCTGATTATAAAGTTCAAGTTTAATAAAATAATCAAGAGAATTTCACTGAACTCTTTCAAAGTCTGTAAAACAGAGTCTTGAGAAGAATTCTGAAAGCATTCAAATTATCTTCTATTAAAGCAATGAAAATTGAAGCTTCAATTTCTTCTTCTGCTATTAGATTTGAAAAGACCTGTATAATCTATGCTCTGAGAGTTATAAAGATGAGCTTAAATCATATAATCAGAGACAGAGTCTCTTCTTCATTTTCATTAATTAACTCTAAAAATGAACTGAATTGAAATAGATTTCTTGATTGAAATGAAAATAATTCTTCAAAGAAAATGTCTTCTCAAATGTACAGACTATGCTCTCTGATTAAAAATCAATTTTCTTCTTTAAATGTTGAAAAAGTTGATCATGAGAAGTTATCTCCCTGGAGAAAAAAGCTTGAATCTCTTATAGACTTATAAATAAGTGAACTATCAAAAGAGAAAGAATATGAACAGCATTTGAAGAGAATTTCTACAATCAATATAGAAGACTCTATTCTGATTTATTCAGATGACTCAAAAAATGAGAACTTGAATAGATTAGGCGCAGGCATTGCTTATACTGAAGATAATATTAATTTTATCTCAGATTTCTGAAATCTAGGCTCTGAATGTGAAGTCTTTGATGCTGAACTATTTACAATAGTGAAAGCTTTCAAACTCATTGAAATAAAATCTCATAAAAGAGGAAATTGTTTGAAAGAGGCATGGATATTCTCTGATAGTCAAGCTGCTTTAAAAAGACTTAGAAATAGTCAGATTTATAATGATCAAATGAATCTTGAACTGATCTTAAACTCTGTTTTAAAAATTCAAAAGAGAAGAATATCAAAGCTGAGAATTCATCTGCACTGGGTTCCTGCTCATATGAATATTCATGACAATTAATTGACTGATTCAGCTGCAAAAAAGAGTGCAGAATTAAGCAGATCTATTCAAAAAATTATGTTCTGGTCTTTTATAAAGAGAAAAATAAAAGAATCTTGTTTAGACAAGTGGAATGAAAGCTGGCAGAAACAAAAGAAGAGTATACATTATTCAAGATTTGAAACAAAACTCAAGTGGAAATCTTGTTCAATTAAATGTAAAAAGAAAATATTCTCATCTATAATACAGCTGAAACTAGGACATGGCTATTTCAAATCTTATATACAAAGATTTGATGATAGATTTGACTCAATAGAATGCTCATTCTGCAATACAAATGAGAATTCTGAGCATATTATAATGCACTGTGCATTATACAATAGTCTCAGAGCCAGATTGAAAGAGAAGTATGATCTAAATCAATTAAATATGAGATTCTTATTCTCAACTGAGACAGGAATTAAATACTTAATAGACTTTCTATCAGAAACTCAAGCAGCTACAAGAAAATGACTAAATTCAGAATTATCTGAATATGAAGAGGAGGAAATCAATCAGATATAATCTGTTAAAACAGCTATACACTCTCTTTTAATAATTTGTTTTGTTATAGTCTCTCTTTACTTTATCTTTTTCTTTATCTTTTCCTTTCAATTTCTTTCTATCTATCTATTTAATATGTCTATCTTTGAGACTGTGTTCTTTTTCTCTTTTCTTTTGTCATGATATTGTCAAATGGTTTCAAAGTATCAAAAGATGTTAAAACACTGCAATTTGTAAACAGTTTTTGTATTCTGGGCTGGAATTTTCTGATTTTGCATATCTGAAATTGATGAATGTATAATAGTTAACTTTACAGACATAGAAAAAACTCTTTGAACTAAAGTTCTCAGGTAGATGTCATAGTCTCTGACTGCATACATCTATAATTGAAGAATAATAATAATAATAATAATGTTTATCAGAAGAGAAGTTAACTTTGAGAAGATATCTTCTCAGTTTCTTCTCTTCTTCAGCTTTTTATAATCACTGATATAGTAATCATCAGCTCTGCAGTTGAAATAGAGATCTTTATCAAATCTTTTTTAGTATTTCTTTACAGTGAGTGAAGAATCAGAATACTTGAAATTCTTCTTTACTTTCTCTACACTAAAGCTGTTATAGCACTGTTTAGATCTCATCATTGATTACTTAGAAGAGATCTTATTAATCTTTTTCTTAGAGAATTGATTATTCAAATAGATCTGAGAAGTCAGATTGACAAGCTCAGTGTAATTAATTAATAAACTCTGATATTATAATATCATTATTCACACCTTGTGAGTCAGCTTTGTAAGATAAAGCTGTGTTTTTAATTAATTTAAATCATCAGTTAATTTCTCTTAATATTCTTCAAATCTTATATTAAAATTAAAAGAATTCTCATTATCTCATTGATATAATGAGTTAAATTACTATATTACTGTGAAGCTGCAGTTGCAGTGATCTTTAATTTAATTCAGTAGAAAGTTCTTAAATTCTTTCTAAGTTATAACAGTATTAATACACTTAAGCTCTCTTTTCTTAATAACTCAAGTGATCACAGAGATGTCTTCAAGAAGGTTAACAGTATATATTACTTATATCTTATAAGTATTATACTGACTTGAGTTAAGATGAAATTTTCATTCAAGAGTATAGATAAAGCTGTGAAATTCAGATAAGATATTTTTCTTATATCTTGAAAAATCTCTGATCTTAATCTCTCTATCTTTATAATAGATGTAGATGTGTAGAGGCTGCAGCAGTGATAGAGTAGTTGAAGAGCTTATATTAAAATATATAGTAAGTTCAGAAATCTCAGATTTCTGTCAAGATAGAGATGTATACACTCTAGAGAATGATATAGTATTTCTCTCAGAGAGTGAAATCAGATCAGTTTCAGTATAAGTATATAAGATCATATCAGTCTGTTAGAGCTTAACTGATTCAAATGTATAATCAGATTAAGCAATTTGAATTGTAATGTACAGAACTGAAGTGATGACTAGTCAGCAGTAATATATAGAAATAGTTGTTTAGAAAGCTGTATAAGTGAGCTTGACTATCTTGCTTGAATAATGAGCTCATAGACTACAGAGTTATTGCAAGAATATCACAGATATGATACTTAGTATACTAAGAAGATTGTATAAGATACATAGTAACTCTTATATCTATTTCAGTAGAAGAAAAAAATAAATTACTGACTTCTTTTATAAAGAGTCAGTATTTAGCTATTCTATATAGATAATGAGCAGATACCTTCTCTTATTTCATAAGTGAGAATAGTCAGAGTGATACCTTAGCAGTGCTTCACTGTCAAGAAAAAGTAATCTGCTGATCTTGTATAGAAGCAGGGTTCTTATATTCATCAATCAGATCTTTCTATGATATATTCGAATAATGTCATAGAGCAGTTGGAAACCGGTTCAGACAGGATGAAATCATCCGCATGGAAGCGATGGGCCGTGTGGAACCGCAACGGGGCCTTGGCGCGGCCGGGAGCGTGATAATAGAATAGCTAGATGCTGACTTCTTATTAAAGAAGTCAGTGATTCATTTTTCTTCTACTGAAATATATATAAGAGTTACTGTGTTTCTTATACAATCTTCTTAGTATACTAAGTACTATATCTGTGATATTCTCACAATAACTCTGTAGCTTATAAGCTTACTATTTAAGCAAGATAGTTAAGCTTACTTATACAGCTTCTTAAATAACTATTTCTACATAATATTATTAACTAGTTACTACTTCTGTTTCACTATATTACAACTATCAGAGAATATTTATATCTCTTTTAAGTTATTTTCTCTTTTATAATATTTTATCTTAGTAAGTTTGAAAGCTTTTACTATTATAAATAGTTCAGCATCAAAGACTTCAGATTCACAGCTGTAACATAGCGGAACCGAAGCAGTGACTAGTCAGCAGTATCATATAAAAATAGTTGTTTGAGAAGCTGTATAAGTGAGCTTGACTATCTTGCTTGAATAGTGAGCTTGTAGGCTACAGAGTTATTGTAAGAATATCACAGATATGATACTTAGTATACTAAGAAGATTGTATGAGACATGCAGTAACTCTTGTATATATTTCTATAGAAGAAAAATGAATCACTGACTTCTTTGATGAGAAGTCAGCATCTAGCTATTCTATATAGACAATGAGTGAATACTCTTCTCTTATTTCATAAGTAAGAATAGCTGAAGTGATATCTCAGTGATATCTTATTATCAAGAAAGAGTAATCTGCTGATCTTTTATAGAAGTAAGATTCTTATATTTATCAATTGAATCTTTCTATAATATATCTGAATGATGTTATAGAGTGATTGAAAATCAGTTCAGTCAGCCTGTATAAGAAATGAAATCATTTACATAGAAGTGATAAGCTGTGTGAAACTGCAGTGAGGTCTTGATACAGTTAGAAGTATGATAATATCTCTCTCTTTAAAAGCATAGTTTCTATACTCTTAAGATTACTGAATTAGAAATTATCTTTGTTGTATAGTAATAATTGTCAATTAATTAATAGTACATATACTGCACATGATACAAAGAAATAGATGAGTTTTTCTGCTGACTGTGTAGATCTTTCTTTTCTCATCTTCATTCAAATCAAACACATGATAAGTGAGTTTCTTATATATTGATTTAAAATGTGAAAAAATGTAGTTAATAAGTAACTTACAGATCTCTTATTATATTCTATTCTATATATGAAATTCTCTACAAAAGTGATGTATTTTAGAAGCAAAGCTAACAGTAGTAGCAGGATTTTTTCAAAAAGATTTCTCTCTCTGTGAAACATTTTTCTTCTTCTCTCTCTCATTTGTAATAGTGAGTGCATGGGAGTATCATTCTTGAAGGACAGTAGAGGGCTTATTCTGATATTTTCTAGTGAATAAACATCTTCATGGTGCGGCGGCGGCCTCTGTGACTGTCAAGAAAGTCAGGTTGAAGGTGACAGTGTCAATGAGCTGTGGGAGCACTGCTCTCATTGTCACATCTTCTCCTGCTTCTCTCACAGCTGCAGCAGTAGTTGCTGTGCCTTGCAGTGAGGTATTGTTCCTTCTGCCGGCTGGTGTGTCTGCATTCAGTTCATTCTCTGTCTCTCTCATTACTATTATGACACTGCCCCTTCTCTCAGCCAATACAGTGATATATAACCCTGTGTGATCATTCAGAGAGGAACTCAGAGAGAGCTTGATTTCAGAGATAGTAACTCTGAGAAGCTTAATCTGTAGTTTCTCTTTCACAGCATATCTGAGTTCTGCTCAGAATGCTGCTGAGTTGAGTCTGAAGAGTTCTGTAGTTTCTTCATCTTCTCTCTGTGAGAAGGCTTCAGTATGATCTCTGATCAGTATTACTACTTATCTACACTGTGTCAAGCAGCTGAAGAAGAGAGGAATTTTATATACTCATCTCTTCTCTCACTTCTGTTATTTCTGTTGTATCTGTAATAATGACTTCTATCTCTCTCTAAGTATTATCTACTCTACAAGAAGATGTTGTATCAGCTCTGATAAGAAGCTCAGATACTTAAACAGTACAGAGTAAGAGTCTCAGAGCTTTAAGTGTTAATGAATTCTGTTAAAACTGAGAAGATCTTTCTTACTTATCTATAAAAGAAGATGAAAGTGTGAATCTCTAAGATAAAAAAATATCTCAGAATAACTGACTCTAAAAAGAGATCAGTCAGCACTACTGTTGAAAGTATCACAGAGATTAATCACTGATTGAAGAGAATCTTATTTCAATTAAAGTAGATAACTGAGATACTTTATAAATTAATAAATTAATACTTTAAGTATCTCTTATACTCTTCTACAGCATGCTTCTCTACAGTATTACAGTACTAACTTCTCAGCAGATAAAGATACTGATACTGAAGACTTCAACAGTGAAGAATAAGTTTAGTAAGAGTGTAATTATTAATAAGTAGATTCTGAAGTTCTCTCTTTTTACTTTTTTCAGCAGACTGTAGTCTCATTAGATTAGTAGTGACTCATAGATTAATTAATATTAATCTTTTTATTAATTTCAAATATTTCTTTCTTTTCTTATTAACTGCTTCAGGAATTTTACACTTGTATAGTCTTATTAAACTTCTAAAAAACTCTTTGAGAGAAAATAGAAGAAGAGTGTTATAGAGTCTATAAGACACTGACTCACTACTGTAAGATTATCTCTAAAAAATTCTTTAAGAAAAATGAGAAGTCTTAAGCAGTATTTCTTGCTTAATGTCTCTGATGTGTAATAAGGCAGTCTCTACTAACTGTCTTATAGATTGTAATCTCTTTCTCAGTATTTTTCAAATACTTAAGTGATTTTCATGAATTCTCTGATAATGAATAATCTTCTTATTTAACAAGATATTGAAGCTTGCTGTAATATATTTACTTATTTAATATTTTCTTTATAAGATATTCAGTATCACTCTTAATCTTGATATTATTCAGCTGAGATGGCTCTGCTCTGAGACATTGCTTATAGAGCTTTAAATAGAAAATGTGAAAAACAGAATGAATTAATTTTAATTCTGTGAGTAATTTCAACTCATATATCTGCTTACTTATCACTCTTATTATCAGAAAAGATTCTAGTCACTGCTTACTGAGCTTCTTATACAGTCTTATTATCTTGATATTCTTTGCTGAAAGTAGCACTTGATTCTCTATCAAGAACTTCATCAGAAGATGTTTTCAATTATAGTATTTTATCTACTGCTTCTAAGCATAGTGAATACTTTTCATCATCTTCTCATGAATTTTATTCAAAAGTTTCAATCTCACTTTTACTTCTGATACTGAGAGATACTCTGTTCTCTGTATCTGTTTAATATTCTGACTGTCTATCTCTCTCTTTGAAACATTATTCATGACATCACTGAGTAATGAAGAATTATATTTATAATAAGTATAGAAAGAAGATACTTTTAAGATTATATTCTTTACATTATTATATGTGAATTCAGCAGTTAGAAGATATTTGAGTTAATCATTCTGATAATATAAATAGAACACTTAAAAATGCTGTTCTAGTGTCTGATTCTGATATTCAGTCTGATCATCAGTCTGTAGATGAAATGCAGTACTGAGAAGATACTTTATTATAAGATGATAGTAACAAGCTGATCAGTATTTGCTGATGAAGAGGAATTCTTAATCTATTATTAATGATTTCAGAGTACTGTGATTATAAATGATGATATCTAAAAACAGGTCAGCTAATTCAGAGGCTTTAATCTTTTTATAAGTAGAGATATATCTGATTATCTTTATGAAGTGATCAACAATGATTAAAATTAAGTCATATTCTTTGACTCTTATCAACTTTAGTGAATTAACTATGAAATTCATTAATAGATTCTGTTATAAGCTCTTTGAAACAGACAGTGATACTAACTTACTATATTACTTATACTGCAGAATCTTTATTTTTTAACAGATATTATAAGTTTTAATATACTCTTTGATATCTGCTTAGTGTAAGAAATCCCGCTTCTTGCGGATTCTTTACCTCTATTCCTATCTCTCGTGTAATTAATAGGGCTAGCGGCTCTTGACTACACACAACTATATAGACTGAAGTTCGCGAATACTATTCACAACTCAGCTTGAATACTAATATACATTTGATCTCTACATTTTATCTTTCTACTATGAATACTTCTAGTAGTTATCAGTATATATCATGTCAAGCTGCAAACACCTGAATAATTGCCTGTAAGCACTTATTCTTACATTTCAAGCTCAGTCAGTCAGCAATTACTTATTATGACTGAAAGAACTAGAAACTTGCATACTTCAATCTCTGTGAACTCTACTGCAGATACTCAGAAGCAGTCATCTGAATCATGAATAACTCTTATGAAAGAAGTCTCAGAGAACTTATCAATTACTTATAAGACATTATTCTCTACATCTGTGACAGAGAAACTCTCTGAACTTATAAATGAATCAATCTCAGTGAAGAACATTCTTGAGCATCTTTCATAGAATCAAGCTATTTTTCTATAAGAAATACTTACTGTCTGTAAACACTCTTAAACTGAGTCTCTAGACATAATCTTCAGAGATATCTATGAACTGAAAAGAAACTTTCTTAAGCTGCAATCACTTAAGATCACTTATTAAATCACAATCTATAAAAGCTTTTATAAGTTTGTATTTGAAATTGACTCACAAGCTCAGCTGTGTGATATGAAAGATGAAGAAGCTATTATCTATATAATGACAGATCTCTATTACACTGAAGTCAAGAACTGACTGAATTATTTAGAGAATAATTATAAGAGATCTCACTGATCTGTTCTTAAGATCTATTTAGAGAATAAGTTAGAGAACTCTATTAGCTAAACAGAGAATATCTGAGCTGTGATCATCAATATTAGAAAAAGAGATGAGAAATCTGATGAAGACTACTTATAGTGCTTCATGAAATTATGATATGAATTGAGATCTGTGAAAACAGAGCTCTGAAACAAGACCTGAATGATAATATTTATAAAGAGACTGAATAAAAACATACAGAACAAGCTCATTGAGTAAGACTCTAAGCTCTTAACTCTGAAGAAACTGATGACTCTCATTCATCACTTACAGATCACTGTGAGAGTCACAGATCTGTAGAGAGTGAATTATTAACCAGCTCTGCAAGAATCAGAATAACAGAGAACTGATTTATTAGAAAAAGATAATAAGATACAGAGAGATTTACATCTGACTGCTGAGCAGAGAGAGAGAGCTTCATAAGCTTCTGTGAACAGAGTGTATAATAGAAAGATTAAGAAAAAGAGACTCTGCTTTATCTATTCTAAATTAGAACATCTTCACACAAACTGTTCAGATAAATTAAAATAGAAATTTGAGAAGTCACAGACAGAGTCAGCAACAGCCTTTTTAAGAGTCTTGAAGCTGATATCTGAATCTGTTACTTCTCTGATGAAAATGCTTACTTATGAAGAGAGACTATACCACAGTGCTGCTGCCCTGCAAGTATGAAAAGTATTGATGAACTCAGAATCTCAGATCACTGTGATGTCTCTAAAGCTCACAGAGTAAATGAGCTGAAAGATGAAGACTGAGAATCTGCTCTTATAATAAGCAGAGCATGAGAACTCAGATCTGAGAGCTGAGAAACTCATAAGAGTCATCTTTGAATTGTAAGATCTCTCTGAAATCTGAAGAAGATTTGCAGAAACTGTGATTATCATGAACATCATAGATGACATGTACTTGAGACTTATATGACTTTAAAGACACAATTCACACATAGCTGTCTGTGAGTCAGATTTATACTTTCAATCAGTGTTAATAGACTCACTTATGAAGATAGAATCAGTTGATGCTGCAGAGTTAATTAGAGAAGACAAGCTTATCTATGTAATAACTTTACAAGTGTCTGAGAATCTCACAGTCATGAAAACTGAGCTTCAGATATCAGAGAAATACTGAGATCTCACAGAGATATTCAGCTCAGTAAAGATAGCTGAGCTTCTCTCTCACTATGAGAAGAATCTGATAATAGATTTGATAGAAGAATAGAAACTCTTCTGAGAATCAATCTATAAGCTCTCTTATTATGAGACAGAGGTCTTACAAACCTATATGAAGAAGAATCTGAAGAATGACTTTATTTAATCTTCACAGATCTCTGTGAAAGCCTCTGTGATATTCATGAAGAAGAAGAATGAAGATCTCAGATTATATGTAGATTATTATGATCTGAACTTCAAGATAACAAAGAGTTACTATTCTCTATCTCTGATTGAGAATGTGATCAACTGTCTCACAGAAGCTGTTATATTCACATAACTGAATATGATCAATGTATATACATAGCTATAAATACAGTCTGAGAATAAATGAAAGACTGTCTTTAGAACTGCACTGAGATTATTTAAATATCTAGTAATATCTTTTAATCTGACTAATACTCTCACAGTATTTCAGTCTTTCATTAATAAAACACTTTGTGTATATCTGAATGTCTTTATAATAATATATCTGAATAATGTGATGATGTACTCTGTGAAGAAGAAAGAACACACTGAGTATGTGTGAAGTATATTGAAGGTCTTAGATAAGATAGAACTGTATATTAAGCTTATAAAGTG